ACGGCCTCTCTGGCAAGTCTGCGCTGCTTTCAGCAGGCTTGCGGGACACAAATTGGGCAACTCGAAGACTTCACGTTTATCCGCGTCCCCATCCAGCTCTCAGTTGAGCAGGACGGGTGCGTTCTGCCCTCTCTGTCCTCCTCGGCTACCTAAGGCTCTCCAGAGACGTAACCAAACACTGCTGACTGCAGTCTGTCATCTAGAAAAGCTTCAGGTCATTTTTGCAAAGCAGGAGAAAGGGTTAAACAAACAAACAGAAAAAAAGCCCTCCAAAACCAAGCCCATCAGGAGCAATTCTTCACCCTCTGGCTACCGCTTTGAAACCCGCTGTGGTCAGTGATTGCATTAGGCAAAGCACATTTTTATGACTCCCAAGAGCATAAATTATCTACAGGAATTCAGACTTAAAGCAACAGTCTACAGGACAGAAAATAAAAAAGGTTAGTTAAGCCTCGGAGAAATACGAGCGCCCAAAGACCCCGATCCGCTCGCTAACGTTGGGGAAGCCAAGCCCAGGGATACATGAAACGCGGACCTGACCTGAGCCACCACGCTGACGGACAACAAAACACAGTGCTCCCTCCCCAGCGCCACGCTGTCCTCGCTCCCTCTCTGCCGACCCCTCCGTGAACCAAACTTCCCGCAGCACCCAAAGCACGGCGACGTGGTGGGAGGGCCCCAGGCGCACGTGCTCCCGGCTGCCCTCTCCACCAGGTGGTAAGCGCTACCTCCGGCACTTTGGACTACGCGACTGTGAAAAGTTGCCTTCTGTTATTCACCGGAGCAAAACCTCACACCGCCTATTTATCACCTCTGCAAAGCGTCCTTGCGTTGAGGTTACACCTAAATATCCGATGCAATGAACCAAGCTCTCTTGGAGAAACAACAACAGACCTATCCAACCACCACTGGACCAAGCTGGGCTCTCCTCTTCTCTTCAAATTGAGAAGCTCTTCTTTAACCGAGCTGAGTTTGGGGTTTCTGTCCTATTCTCGGACCAGCTGAGCCCATGGTGGACTGAGAACAAAAGCAGAGATGCTTTGGTTCTTGGTGGGGGGTAAGAAAATACCGCACAGTATTTAAGGCAGCTAATGTAATCTAGCCAGAACCTACTTACTGCGTCCAACTGGAGTCACGTAGCTGTTTCATCAGCCCCTGCAACCGCCACCGCGGCAATACACCTATAACCGTCACTGCTGGCCAAAGCCCAAGGGGAAAAAAAGGTCCCTAGAAACTGAGCTCCACTCCATCCACGTCTCCCTACTCTTCTCTTCTAACCGTACCATCCGTTCAACATTTTGCCTCAAACAGCAATCTGCTGATGAGGCCGTGACCTACCTGCTGGCCATACCGAAGAGGTTCGGTCTCCCCGCTGCAATCCTCCAGGCTCCTAAGGTGCCCCTCCAGGAGTCTTCACGGCACCAGATTCATCCAACCACAACAACATGAAATAACCTTCTCCGCGTCAGGGCTACCCTGACAAGTTTGGTCCTCCCTCCCTTCTTCTGTAACAGCTGAGAAACGTTACAGCAAAAAACACAGAGGGGGGGGGAAAAAAAAGGTTAGCCTGAACACAGCCTCCAGGAGAGCCAGGAAACTGTTAACTTTTAAAAGACTTCACAGAAATCTGATTTTTTTTTTTTAAGGAGCCAAGCTTTGGGGTTTGGGGGAGGGGAGGGACCGCATTTTAATTTGCTTCAGATTTATGAGAATGCAGCCAAAAGAAATAAAAAAGGAGCCGTAAAGGATGAAAACCTTCTGAGGCAGAGCAAAAGCATTCCCGCTCCTCTCCTTCCCGGCCAAGGCGTTTCGGCGGAGGTGGAAGTCTTTGCTGGCTGCACCCACCACCCCGCCCGGCCACCAGCTCCCGCGGCTTCGTCTTGGTGGGCAAAAGCAGCCTGGAGAAAAGCGGATGAAAAACCGAGAGAGAGAGAGGGAGAGCGCAGAACTCTTCTCCTCCTCTGGCCGAGGAAGGACGAGGGCAGGACAGCCAGGACGGAGCGGGATGAGGCGAGCTCCGAGGTGGTGCCCCACGTGTGCCGGCTGCTTCCGGACAACGGGACGCGCCAGGAAGGCCAGCGAGATGCTCCCGAGTCGTGGGCCCCCCCCCCCCAGCCGCAAGGAAGAAACCCTACGGAGGGTAGGATTCCCTCCCCTGGTTCACCGCGGTGCCGGAGCGGGACCAGAGGGGACAACCTTGTCTCCGGCGTGCGAGAACACGCGTGCTTACGGATAACGCATCCCAGGTCTGAAAAATTAACCTGCCGGCGACAGCAGAGATGAAGTGG